TGGCTGCAATGCCCATGACATTGTATGCCTTGGCAGAAAGGCCGTTTGGCAGCAGGATACGAAGTAAGGATTCTTTGCTCAGAATCAGAAATAATCATAATGAGCAGTGAGTATTATTTATGCTCCCCAGCCCACAAACGCAAACTCATTCATTGGACTAATTAGAACCCAGGAAGCTTTGATTTAGCAGGGATGCGTTCATTACCAAAGGAGAGCGTGCACCGCCATATTTAACCCGTCAGGCACACTAAGGGAACATAGGGAGGGCATGCAGGGATGGTCTGGCCCCTGGAAAGGAAATAATCCTCAGCCATAGAAGTTGAATCAATCTTGGAGCCATTTAAGCATCCAGCAATGCATTGCTGTGAGAGGTTGAAAACATTTTCCCCCAGCTGTCAGTGGTTAAGAACTGCAGAAGGGAATCCTCTCTAAGGAAAGGCAATAGAGGTGAAAATACGAGAATCAAAAATCTCATGGCACTCAAAAATAATTAAGAACAGTATTCCTGGGAGAAGGGGTCTCATTACATTGTTTTCGGGTTGCAATTTTCTCTTATGTACTCCCCCTCCCCACAGCAATCCTAAAGCAATAAAAGTATCAGTTTGCTTTCCAGCGCTTGGATTCTCTTAAAACTGTCATTATTCAATTACCTGTCTATTCACCGGCCCTAAGGTCCAGCGCAGCAGATATTGTGAGCTTTCATTTAATGTTTTTAAACGCACTTCTGTCCACTTGTGATACAATAAAACTTTATTGAATTCTGTTCCCACATCGCACTTAACAGCCTTCACTTTTATTGATATGTAAGCCAACCCACTCTTCTCTCAGCAATAAAAGGAGCATTTCTAGCAAAGGAATTACCCTTTTTTTCCCCATCAATACCACAGTGGGGAAATGTGAATTCAACATCTATGTGGGTTTTTAAAACCAGTCTTTAAAGGAGGAAGGAATGACAGTTAAGTATGACTCCCCACCCCCCACCATTGTCAGTGTTTAAAAATACCAGCAAGTATTCAAGCAGAGAGAGTCAGTCACCTGTTGATACTGACTAGCCCTGTCGGAAGGGAGAGGAAAGCAGCCAGGCCCCTTCACAAGCCAGTTCTGTTTTTTTCTTACAACAAGGAAGTCCCAGTGTGAGTGGGGTTGACAGGAGGCAGGACTAAGGACAGATAATACAACAGACATTTCCGAAAGAGAACCTGGCCTGGGAGTATTGTAAGTAGAGCCCTGCAAATCCGTGGATATCCACAGCTCCTTGTTGTGGAGACGGATGCACATGTGGATACAAAATTTCCATCTAGAATCCTGAAAATCCATCAATATCCAGCTTGATATCTGCAGGTACCAGCCTCCGCAGATGTGGATATCCACGGATCGTTTCTGGAGGAGGATTCCAATTGTGTATCCATGCAGGCTCTAGCTGTGAAAGGCTACACACTTTCAGAGGACAATGCACTGCTGCTAGCAAGCCCCTCCCTGTGGCGGATGGAAGTTATGGGGATTTCGAGAAACAGGAGAAAAACAACACAGTGCAAGCCAGGAGGGGGGGAACCAACAGAGCGTTTAACACATTCCATATTGTTCCTGTGCAGGAGTGGCCACAACACTGTCCTACTGAGCATCGGTGTCCAAGGCCAGCTACATCACCGCTCCAGACAATTCCCAAAGGCTGGGCGGCTGGAAGGCATACTCAAGACTGTGATGGTGATTTAGAACCTTACAACATAAACCAACAGCTCCCACATCGTGGGCTGAGAGGACGTTCTAATGGGACACGTGATGAATCATTCATGCTTGAATTGCAAACACAGATGCACTCCCATAGGTGAGTACCACATTGCGATGCTTAGCTCCAAAAGGCAGCAGGGCTCTACTAGGTTTGCAACATTAGTAAGAGTCTGAATCCAAGTGCCCCACCATGCACCAGAAATCTGTAATGGAGGCAGGAAACTGGCTACAATCCATAGTCCGTTTTACCTTGGCAAAGAGCCGGGCAGGAATTCAGGTTTATGGAGTGGTGCTGGGCAAGCTGCCTTTAAAGTAGAAGGCACTCAAAAGACACCTGAAACATCACTGACTAGACCAGTGAGAGGCAACGTAGGCTAGAGTGGGCTGCATGAGTGGCCTTCATCTCAGTGGGCTACAAGATTGTCAAAACCAAGACAGTCTCCCGTGAGAGGACAGAGTTGCTACCTATACTTGTGTACCTAGAATTTAAGGGTTTGGGCAACTGCACCTGGCTTTGCGTGCATGTCACCTTAGTAACACCGCTGGGGGGGAACCCTATGTGGGTAAAAACCAGCAGAATCTGGCAACCTTGCACATGGGCAATGGTAAGGAAAACATCTTGTGGGCCACACATAACCCCGAGGGGCTGCATGTGGCCCACAACAGGACTAGACCGAAGCCAAAGCAGAAATGGCTAGGTGGGTCTTGAGTGAAGAAAGTGGAGCATAGCCATGGGTACAGAAAATTTCTCCGGTTGCCTGGCCAAGAGATGGCAGCCTTCATTTTACACAGCGTGTTGGCACTAAGGTGGTCTGAAGTCCCTGATGCAAAGAAGAGGGAAGTTCTGTTCAGTCATTCATTTATCACTTGTGCCAGCCAACGGGTACTGTGAACTGCATGAGCCATGATCGCTGTATGCTAGGTAATCATATTCATGCATATCCTTATTTCAGAGGAACCAGACGCTCAGAAACTCACATTGACTTCCCTAGGGACAGTGCAGAACCGTGGGTAAAGCACAAGTCCTGGCCCCGTTAAAGGGAGTTTTGTCATTGACACGAGTGGGGTAGGATTGTAATGTTGCTTTGGATGCTCTCTTGCGGTGCGGACCATGTTCCCTTGGAAAAAATGGGAGTATGTTGCATCCACAGTCTCATGCAGTTGGGCATAACCACATAGTGCTCGCCAATTGCTACAGAATCGCAACACGTTGGCAATGCCAGGCACGGACAAGAATAGAGCGAGGAAGTCTGGTTTCCATGCCCTGTGCTCAGTTCGCTACATCCGCCATCCCTTGGAGGGCATAGGGGCGCACCCTCACAACATGCCAGCTTCTTCCCAGGTCGCCGGTGGGGTAGCTCTCTGCAACGACTGGAGAACCAGTTGAGGAGCTGGCCTCAAATGTTAAGCATGAATGCTGCAATAATGCTAATCAAAAGCAGGCAAAGTTGTGGGAACTGCCTCTTACAGCCTGCCACGGTTACTACAGCAAGCGTTTCCAAAAAACCCACAGCCATACAACACCCTAACCTGATTTGAAAGGCATCATTTTTCACATTTGGATCATTAAAACCATTCAATCCCTACTGTACATTTGGTACTGAACAGCCTACGACAAGAGTTATTTTACATCTTGCACAGAAGACCGATTAGCACCTCCGGGCATAATATTCACATATTACTTGTCTAACAATGCACTGCTATTCTTCTTTGTTTTCTATGCAACAAAGGCTAATGGTAATGACTAGTTCTTTACCCGAGTGATCTCAGGAGGAAATAACACATGCCATGTGAATTGCAAGTCGTAAGAAATATGACTTAGGGGAAGCAAAGCTCCCCCACCACCTTTTTTTTTTTTTTTTTTTTTAAGTAATGAAACACTGCCCTGCTAGTAGGTCACCTGCCCGCTAGTGATTCTGTATCAAGCTTTATGGGTCACATTCAAAGCACATTGATGTTAATCTTTCCATTGTCTTCAATGGGTTTCCAAACAGTCCCCTCCCTTCCCCCTGCCAATGTAAGACATCAGTTGCTGCATCTAGATGCTTCACGGCTTTTGTTTTTAATACTCAGAGATGGACAGAGTCCTAACGCTGCCCAATCGGCTGAGACAGACTAATGGTCTCTTGGCGGAGTAAGTCACTTCTGCTCAGGGCCATGGGCAGTGAGTTTTTTGTTTTAATGGCATCCCTCACTTTTCAGTTCCAGCCATCTCTCGATAGCCGTAGCATCGCACAGCCCTTCCAGTCCCCCGGGCAGACAGACAGACAGCTCCTGGGTGACAGGTGCAACACAGTCTGAGGGACTGGAAGCATGAACAAGGAAACTCAGAACTTCCCCCGAGGAGACCAGGCGTGTCACTTCCAAGACACATTCCTTCTCCTGCAGCTTGAAATCCAAGCACGAGCCCGTTTGTTATGATCTCGGCTCTCTTCTTCTATGGGTCAACAGTCAGGCTTCAGAAGAATGAAATGTTTTCTGGCTGGCTCTCACTAATCAATTACACTAATAAGGGAAGACTGGGGTGATTTTAACATTGCCTTGTTTGTTCCCTGAGGTGCACCATTGGACAGTTTTAAAAATCTAGAGTAAGTAACCCAGAAATACTTCAGTTTTGCATGACTTGATTCTTTACTACTGCTGACCAAATATCTATATTCTTTTATATAAAGTCATTCTTGCTGCTATGAAAAGTAAGTTCTTTACTTTCTGGTACTGCTGATTTTACTCTGTTAAAAATACAATACTACAACCAGAGAGGATTTTTTTTTTTTTTTTTGCTAAACCTAGAAAAAAGAAAACTAAGTCTTTCAGGGCCTGCCTGTAACTTCCCTTTGTCAGGTCAGAAACTTACAATTTAATAATTCCTACCACCAACATTATAGTCTAATCAATTAGCTTCCTATTTGCTTGTCCCTGCAAGGAGATGTAATACGGGATTTAAAAGGGAGCGATGAAATGGCACTAAGTAAAATAACATAGATGGGTCCAAAAAACCCTTTGATATACAAATTATAATCAAAACCTGTATCGTCAGCAGTAACTTGGCTCTCCCCTCCTCCCCCCCAAAACAGTTAATAGCAGTGTTTTATTTATCAGTGGCATACATCACAGTGAGTGAGATTTTCAAACCTTTAGCAACTGAATCTGGTGTGGGGAACACAACTTTGTTATTGAGTGTTATCTCCCCTGCCCCACTCTGGGACCAAGGCCCAATCTTCAAGCAAAATGAGCTATCAGCGAGCAGTGAAAATCTAATAATAGCTACATACTGTAAGGGACACATTCATACTGCACTTCCAGGTACTTGTAGGTTCCCGGGCAAGGGTCTGGAAACACATCAGGGCCCGCGACGACTGCGCACTGTGTGCGATTGCTGCATCTGAAAGGCAAAGACAACAACAATCAAAACACGGCGAGAATTTCATGGATGGATTTGCTATTGGGTACAATTTTCATAAGTGTCCATGGCACTTAAGCATCAAAGTCCTTGGTCACAAGCCATTTCTCTACCTCAGTCTCACTGACTTCCCATAAAGCGTCGGAGTCTAGGCACGTTCACCCCTCTCTGAACATGGGGCACAGGCCCTCATGTCACTCAAGGGCGGTTACACCCATGATTTATCATTTTAGTTGCATCTAAGCTACTGATAGTTTGGAGTTGTTTGGGATTTCTTTCTTTCTTTAAAGAAAAACGTTGACTTTTCTGTTTGTTTTTTGTATGGTGGTTTTACAGGGATATGTCTGAAGTGTATCCATTCAGTGTAGGAGGTACATCAACAGCAGCTGTAACTACACAGAATTATTTCAAATGAACAAGAATATGATTTTCATATCAACAGTGTCCCTTTACATAGTGTCATATAGAACAATGATATAAAAT